GTGTGTGTGCGTGTGTGTGTGTGTGTGTGTGTGTGTGTGTGTGTGTGATTGTGTGTATGTGACTACGAGGCTTCCTTGGGAGGGAAGAAAGGGTATTCAACCTTCTATGTCTGTGATATCCTTGAGAGTTTTAATAGCAAGTCTTTAGGTGCAAAGGCTACTAAAATATATTCGTATAATTATATCCATGGGGAACCATTCTCCAACTGGCATACAGGGATAAATTAGAATACATGGAGGAATATATTAATATCACTGCCTTTTTGAGATAGGGTTTCACTATGTAGCCCTTTCTGACTTGGGACTTGCTGTATAGACCAGGCTGGCCTTGAACTTAGAGTTCCATCTGCTTCTGCCTACTGAGTGCTGAGGCTAAAGATGTATACCAGCACACCTGTCCATGAGACAGTTATAGAACACTGGGGTATTTATGATCATGGACTTCTAAAGAAAATTTTTACAAAAGGCTACTGTGTTTTTTGCTAATTTAACAAGAACTTGTCTGGTATAATGATTCATGTCTGTCATTCTAGCACTCAAGAGGTAGAGGTAGAAGAATCAGAAGCTCAAGTTTATCCTTGGCTACAAGTCAGTTCAACACCTTTCCTCAAAAAAAATCACTTATTTTTTAAATTCAGACTCTGTTAAGTAGCATTTCACCGGAGCCTAAAGAAAATGTCTTAAAATGCTGGAAGGGGATAAGTTCCCCTCTTTGGTATTTGTTTTCTTTAAACATCAACAAGCAGGCCTTGATCTAATAGTAAAGTTCAACATTGTTGCACAATATTTGTTTACACTGTGAAGATGAGACTTTGCCAAAGCACCTTTTGATTGGTTTAATAAAGAGCTGAATGACCAACAGCAATGCAGGAAGAGGTTAGGCAGGACTCAGAAGACAGAGAGGACTCTGGGAAGAAAGGCAGAGTTGCCAGACAGAGAGAGGAAACGGGAGATGGAAGATAGAAGAGAGGTAACATCACATAGCAGAACACACATTTTAAAATGTGTGTTAATTTAAGTTATAAGAGCTAGTTGAGACAAGCCTAAGCTAAAAGCCAAGCTTTTATATTTAATAAGTCTCCATGTCATTATTTGGAGCTGGCTGGTGGGACAGAGGAAAAATTGTTATACAGAATGCCTGACACTAAGGTTTTCATTAATTCAGTATTGTACTCACCCTGAATAGCTTGTCCAAATGCCTTTTTCCCCTTATGTCTATTTGACAGAGAAGGGCACTGAGTTTACTGTCGGGTGTTCTGGTTGTGTGGGTTAGTTGAAGAAAGATGTTACTCCAATAAGAACCTTTAGGCCTGTGTGGCAGCAGGAAGGTGCAGCCTCTCATAGATTGGACCTCAAACAGCCACACAAAGGCATTTTTTTTTCTTTATGGTTTTCTGAAACAGGGTTTCGCTGTAGCTTTGGAGTCTGTCCTGGAACTAGCTCTTGTAGACCAGGCTGGTCTTGAACTCACAGAGATCCGCCTGCCTCTGCCTCCTGAGTGCTGGGATTAAAGGCGAGCACTACCACCTCCCAGTTCACAAAGGCATGCTTATTGATTGTTACACAAAGTTGTTTTGGGGGTAAACAAGTTCCTCATACCAAAGCCCCTGATCTAATCGATATGTTTTTCTGAAGAAAAACATCTCATGCTTGCTACCTTCGTCCTTATTGTGTACCGTTTGCAGTACCCAATAATTCTAGTGCTGCAGGTGTGGCAGAAGCAGCTTGTGACCAAAGTCATGCAAAGGCTGTAAAGCTCCCCCAGGAAAACAATTCCTGACTTGTGCCAAGATTTCTTCAAAGTTAAAGTACTTCTAGACAATAGCTATTCTGTTGTCCCCTTGACACAGCGACTCTGTGAGATTCCTCCAACAGTTTACAGAGGAAGATTGCTAGAAGTGGCGCAGACTTCACATACAAGGTCAGAAATGGCGTAGGCATCCACACATAGGCTTGAGAGACCACCCCCATGCAGGGTATATTGGACTCTGCAATCTTGAGAGTATTGCTAGGTTTGCCTATGTGGAAATCCAGTGTAGGTTTCCAGAGAGAAATGGCTTGTCACCTATGTTAAGGTTAAATACTCTCTAGAAAACCATTTAAACAAGGTAAGTTTATCAGAGATAGACACAATTTTGGACATAAAAAGTCCAATAGTTCAACTTAAACATTCCCAGAGGCTCTATAATCCATTACCATGTTCATTCCTAAAGACCAAGAATATTCTATTGCCATTATCAGTAGATAAAAACAAAACAAAACAAAAAACCACCCCAACTTACTACCTTTCATTCACATAAAGTATGTTCTCTTAACTATGCAGGCCTGTTTCCATGACTCTCTGCTAGCCTAGAAAGATTGTGCTGTGAAAGGTGGTAACTGTAAAGATATTTGTAGCTTAGCAAAAAAAAATGTTTATTTCTTGCTCACACAAAATGTGTGGTGGGTGGCTATGATTCCAAGGCATGAGTCCTCCCACACAGTGACTCAGAGACATGGACTGCTTCTGTGTTTCGGCAGCTCCATTCAAGACAGGACTCCCTCAATCACTGTGGCAGGGCAGAAGAGAGACTCGATCATCACAAACAGCAATTGACTGTCCCAGCCCCCAGGTGCCCCACCATTTCTGCTCACATGTCAGGAGTCCTAATAGTCACTTGGCCCTGCTTACTTGAAAGGGCAGTTGAGAAATACTGTCTTCTGTGTGTATAGAAGAAGAGATTGAGACACTGTCACCATTAGTAATGTCTGCCTAACAAAGCACTGACTACATGTTTCACATAGGCATAGGATTAGCCACATAGAAATACAGAACTGCTTTCTCGACGTGGGGAGTCTGCTGCCATTGGGATCCTCTTATAAGCAGGCTTCCTCTTCTCCCTCCCTTTGGTAAAAGCACATGAGAGAGAGCACTGCAGTGTGATGTGAGCAGCAGGAGGCAGGAAAGGAGAACTCAACCCCTAGGATCCATCTTATTTACCCGCCGCTGTGGTGTTTGCAAGTATCTGAAAATCCTATCCCATCTTTTTGTTTCCTTCAGAAGGTCCTTCCTGCTTTTTTGTTTTTTAGAGACAGGGTTTCTCCGTGTAACACTTCTATCTGTCCTGGAAGTAGCTCTATAGACCAGTCTGCCTCTAACTCACAGAGATCCGTCTAACACTTCTATCTGTCCTGGAAGTAGCTCTATAGACCAGTCTGCCTCTAACTCACAGAGATCCGTCTGCCTTTACCTCCCAAGTGCTGGGATTAAAGACGTATACCACCAGCTGGCTCTGCTTCCTGCTTCTTAATAAATGTCTTGAGAATTCTTCTGAACACAAATGAAGAGATAAAAGGAAACAAGTTTTAGTGCTATTTTGGACCTCCCAGTCCAGAGTATCAGAAACAAAATTTTGTTGTTTATAAGCTGCTCAGTATAGGGCATTTTGTTACAGTAGCCTAGGCAAATCAGGACAACGCCTCTAATTCATGCGATTTTTGACCTGTTCAGGACCAATTCCAGATAAATATCCAAATTTTTGAAAAAAAAAAGCACCAAACTTTGATCAGGAAACTATTATGATGCAACATTTTTATTTAATGACTGTAATATCCTGCTCATTCTAAATGGTCTTCTTACTAGCGACTGCCACTCCTGAGAGTTGCCTGCCTAAGTGCAGTGTGGTTTTGAGACTGTTTCAACAGATCTAGTGCGGTGGACTTGATACCATGTAGATTCTGAAACAGTCATAGAAGTGAATGTAGCTTTTGCCTTGTCCTCTTGCTATTACTTCTCTGAGAGGCTGCCTTGAAGAACAGAGTAGCCTATGAGGAAGGTGAGCAGCCACGTGGAAAGGGCACGTGTGGCTAATTCAGGGCAGTTGCTGCTGAGTTTCCTGACCCTGTCTCCTGCCAGCCACAGAGAGCCTCCGTATTCTATTCAGACGCAGCCACTGACTGAGCTACTGGCAAGATACATTGTTTAAGCCACGGAGTCTGTGAGCTTGTTGTGCAGTAACCAGAGTATAAATGACATTTTAAATAATGTCCAAGCTCCTATATCACATATAAATCCCACCTTTGACTCGTTGTGGTCAGTGGGAAATTAATCTGAAATGTAACTATAAGGCCGATGCCACCATGTTCTTGGTTCAATATTTTCATAAGGCAAGCAAGCTTCCTCAAATGTAGAAATCAGGGTGATATCAGCTGAATTTTTTTTTAATTGTAAAAGGTCTCATGTATTTACTATGCAGCAAATGCCTGATCCTCCTGCCTCTACCTCCAAAGCTCTGGGATTACAGGAATGCACTACCATGCCCAACTCATCTCTCCATTTTCCTTCCCTCGATCCCTCTCTGGATATCTTTCATTTTCTCCCATTTTTCATTCCTCCTCCTTTACTCTTTCTTCTTGTTTTCCTCCTTATCCCAACTTCCCAAAGCCTTGTTATCAGTCTTCAGGAAGCTGCCTCCAGCTCCTCATTGCTGGATTCATTAGCAGCGCCCATTGCAGAGGTGAAGCCCGCTGAAAGCGCCCAGGAAACCATCAGTGGGTTCCTCTATTCCATCGTGCTTCGGCTGGACTGAGGGCCCAGAGGCTGGGCTCCGTGCCCAGGTGGCAGTGGCGAGTGATTGAGAGCCTGCAGGCGGCTCCTCTGATGACGCTGGGGCAGTCACCACAGCAGTATAAACGCAGTGCAGCTGGGAGCGCGTTCTACGGAGACCAGACACTGCAACTGCGCGCCTCCCACGCTCCCCGCACCGAAGTCACGCCGCACCGGGGCAAAATGGCGCCGTCCCTTTGGCGGCGTGAGGGGGCGGGCCGTGAGTCACGTGACCTCGCCCGCCCCGGCCCCGACCGCCCCAGGCACGCGCTGGGAGTCCCGCAGCCGAGCGAGCGGCGTCCCTGCCCCGCTACGGGCGTCCTCGCTGGTCCCGGCTAGGTCACGACAATCTGTCCCACTCACGAACCGACCTGGGGTTGTGAGGCCAAGGGTGGGGGCGGCGTGGGGAGGCGAAGGGGCTGCAGAGCTGGCTCCGGGGGTCCAGGCAGCCTCGGGGAGGCAGGAGATCGCAGCCCCCTACCCGGGCTGACCGTCCAGGAGTCCTGGCGCTCAGCCGAGTGTGCGGGGACAGGCTATGGACCCTCAGGGCCTCCTGCCCAAGCCTTGGCTGCCCATGGGGGTCTGTCTAGCCGTCACCCCCCCAGCTCTGATCACTAGGCTGGGGCATTTATTGGGGTTCGCACATCCCTAGCCTCGAAGCCAGCAGCATTGAAATATAGCTTCAGCCAAGCGCTCTCTTCCCTGTAGGGAGGAGAGGGGACCAGAGCGTGCGTGGGTCCTCCGCAGCCACCGATGTCTCTGCAGGGTGGGCTTGGCCGCGGTGCCCCCCCACCCTCGGGAGGAGGGCCCAGCGATGCGCTGTGACCGTGCCGCCTCCATGTGGCTGCTGACGGGCCCAGGGGGGAGCAGGCATGGGGCGCGGCCGCGCCTCCCTCCCACCCCTCCTCGCGGACTGCTGGCTGGGCTAGGCGCAGACGTGAGGGGCCAGCCGCCCGTCCGGCTCTGCAGGACGCTGCTTGACTCCCGCGCGTCGGTCCCTCCGCGCCGGGGCAGGAGCGGCTGTGCGCGGGGTTCCGAGGCCGGGCGGGCGAGCGCAAGCCCCCGGCTTCGCTATGGGGCACAACAACAGCTGGGTGTCTCCGAACACCAGCCACCCGCGCAACACGTCGGGCGCCGAGGCTGGCGCCAACCGCAGCGCGCTCGGGGAGCTGAGCGAGGCGCAGCTGTACCGCCAGTTCACCACCACCGTGCAGGTCGTCATCTTCATCGGCTCGCTGCTCGGTAAGCCACCCGGCGGGGCCACCAGCCAGGCGGGTCTTCCCCGAGGACACAAGGGCTGCCGTGGGGGTACGGGGTGCTTGGCCATGTGTAGGGGGTTGAAGGTTTAAGAATGCTTCGGTAACTGCCATGAAGTTAAGCAAGAGGGTTGTCTCCAGCCCCAAGGCTGGAAGCAGAAGAGTTCGGACAGGGCTTCTCTTGGCTGGAGGATGGTACCGGATTCTGGCGGAAGACCTGTCCACACAACCCTTGCCCAACGCTTCGGACTCCGCGTATCACCACTTATCTTCTGGTGCCCTGAGCACTGCAGCCTCTAGCTCTTGTTTACAAATAGGAGCAAAGATTCCGTGGGAATTTGTTGCTGATGAAGGAATGTTACTCTCTCAATGAAAGATGTGTTTTCACGTTACCATCTGTTTTCTATATATGATAATTATTTTTGGAAGAGCTGTATGTTGCGTGTCAGTCTTAGGAGCACCGACCGGGTAAAAGAGCGCGTGAAGTTAAACTTTATATTGCCTTCAGATGATTTTACAATCTCCGAGTAAGACGATATCCATTCTACTTCTCTACCTGTGTTTTAAGTGCACAACACAGACAGACAGACAGACAGACAGACAGACAGAAGGAAAGGAAGAAAGGAAAGAAGGAAGGAAATCTCAAACCACACACAATAGATTCCACCCCCTTGTTCAGAGTTCAGAGAGATGAAAAAAATAGACCAAAATGGAGTCCCCCCCCCATTACAAGGTACCGAATCGGTTTTCAAAAAGAGCTGGAGGACCCTAAGAAGGATGAAGGGATTGCTGTCCGTGGGATTTCTGTGTGCAATGGCAAGTAAAATGTGTGTGGGCTGGCGTGAGAATCACCTGTGCTGTGACCCACTCTTAAATGGTACTTGTGCTTTAGGGCTACACTGAATGATGAACAGTTCAGTCAATACTGCTTTCCACTGAGGTTTGACAAACATGTCTAAATCAGCTGTTGTGGCATTCATAAGACCGTTAAAAGATGACAATTTATGTGTGGATGTTGTAGAGAAGTCAAAGTTTTGAAGTCGGAACAGATTTCATTTCATAGACACTGGGAATTTCCATGGTAACCAAGATATCTGAGATATTAAAAGACCATATTAGGAAAAAAATAATGTTTGGAATTTCCCTTCATACTTTCTCAAACTGTCATCATCCTAGACTATTCTGTTGTAATAGTTACCGTCCACACTATGTCATGAGGGCATTTTCAGGTGTAGATTTCAAGATGTGTGTTTTCAAGTGGACTGTTAAATACACATTTAGAAAATAAAACCCTGTTTCAAAATATTTCCAAGATTCATTTAACAATCACTATCTAAACATTTTCTATGCAAGGTACTGTGCAAAGAGTTGAAGTCCAATATTGCTTTACTTAAAATGTTTGTTAAAAGAAAGGCAGAAAAAATGACCCTGGGCTCTCAAGTATATCCCCCTCCTATTATGTATAGGTATATATGGATAACTTTCCCCCATGGCAACTTTGGTGTTGAGAGAAATATTTTTCATGGACGAATCTAAAAAGTTAAGTATTAATGGAGTAGAAGATAGTCTCTAAAGACATATCAAAGAGTGGCCATTTAGAGGTTGTTTTTGCTATCTTTCTGTGGTTTTCTCATTTATGTCTGTGCTTTGGATTCAGGAATTTCTAGGTAATCTGCTCTTATTTCAGTTTTTTCCCACACAATACTTGTGACTGACATGCAAGACTGCCTTAATGGATAGCTCTGTAAAAGAGACTCATTTCCCCTGGATCTTTGGTTATGCCTGACTGGACAAACTGAGGATTCCATTTGCTCTATTCTATTTTCAGAAAATACAAATATAGATAGCATTTCATATTTCCTTGAAAACATAGCTGAATTGTTATATTGCCCTGTGAGTTTATTCCTTATGAGTGTTCTCGATTCATTGTTCTAGAAGGTTCTGATCCATTAAAATATACCTCCGTACATGCATATTTTCCTGGAAATGACAGTCAAGGCTTAACACATAAGTTCCAAAGCTATGTCCAGTTATATGCAAGGCAAGTCAAGTTGGGAATATAGCTTCAAAGTCCACAAATAGAGGAAAGTCATAGGTTAGAAGTAGGAGGAAGGCGAGATTGAGGGAGGATGAAGTGTGTCTAGTGAAAGACTAACCATGACTTACTTACTTCCTATCCCCAAACATAGGCAAATGAGTCATTCTTTACTCTTTCTCTTTAAGCAAACACAAACACTCTTTTTGTATGTTCTCCAAATAGATTTCTCTTTTCTAGGCTTCCAGAGACCCATTAGAATATGGGAATACTTTCCTTGCATTGCTATCTTGCAGATCTTTAAACATTTTTTGGGAGTATTCAAGACAGGGTTTCTCTGTAGCTTTGGAACCTGTCCTGGAACTCACTCTGTAGACCAGGCTGGCCTTGAACTCACAGAGACCCACCTGCCTCTGCCTCCTGAATGCTGGGATTAAAGGCACCAACACCTGGCTACTTTAAACACTTTTTAAGTGCTCTGTAACTAGAAAAATGTCTCAGCAACTTGGAATAACTGTAATATTTCAGTAATAGGGAACATTATTTACTATGCTGGAAATGACTCAAGAATTATATATATTGCTCAAATAATATGCCTTATGGGCATTTGAGTAAATGAGTCTTTCTCAGCTTTCATGATACAACATCTTGGGATACCTTCAGTTACATAGGTATCCTGGAAGCAAGTCAAATAATTATGCTCCTTAATAGGTGGTCCACACCACTTCTAGAAGTCAACAATGGAAAATCAAAGACTCAGATTTGGAATCACCCTTCCCAATAAGGCTGAATTCTGCTGGGCATGGTTGCACATGCCTTTAATCCCAGCACTCAAGAGACAGAGGCAGGCAGATCTCTTAAGTTTGAGGCCAGCCTGGTCTATAGGGGGGAGTCCCAGGGCAGTCAGGGCTACTCAGAGAAATCCTGCCTTGAAAACAAACAAACTAACAAACAAACTAACTAAAAACTATATTCCATAGGACTGGTCTTTCTTTTTTTCTGATCTCCTTGGGTTCACAATGAAAATACCTGCAGAACTACATTTCTCTTTGTTGCTTTGGCTTAGAAAGGTCAGTAACTATGACCGACTGTTACCTCTAAGCTACGCCTACCCAGATCACTTGTCACCTGTGCCTGTCATCCTTGGAGGCATGAAAGATATTTTTATAAAATGAACTGCCCATTAAAGAGAATCACCAATGTGAACAATAGCCAGATGTGAGTATTCTACACTGAAATGTATCTTAAGGTGTTTTCAAATATAGAAACCAGTCTTTCTCCCTCTTGCCAAGCCAATGTATGTATCTGGTTCTCATTTCTTAAGTTGGCCTCCTTTTCCAACTGTTATGGACTGAATGTTGCTGGATACCCATGGCTGCCTGCATTCTTATGTTGTAGGTCTAACCCCTGCGTGATTGTCTGTAGGAAGTGGACCTTTCTGGGGAGGTTTAGATGAGGTCAGGCTTAGTGCCAAGGAACTTACAGACTGTCTCTCCATTTTGCAAAGGCAGTTGTCAGAAAGAGGCCCTTACCCAGAACCTGCCCACATTGGCATCTGATCTGGGACTTTGTAGTTTCCAGAACCATAGAAACGAATGTTGTTCAAGCCACCCAGTACATGGGCGTTTTGTTTGTTTTGAGTCAGGGTTTCTCTATGTAGCCCTGGCTGTCCTGGAACTCGCTCTGTAGGCCAGAACCTGGAGATCTTCCTTCTGTCTCTGCCTCCCAAGTGCTGGGATTAAATGTGTGCACTACACGCCTGGGTGTTTGTTTGATAGCAGCCTGCACAGAGGTCTGTAGTGAATCACTGTGAAACTGATGACCACCAAGTAAAGGATCTCTATCACCTTTTGTCTTATTCTTTCAAAACAGGGTCTCCCACTGAACCTGCAGCTAGGCTGTTGGCCAGGAAGTCCCAGCTGTCTTCCTGTCACTGTCCACCACATCGCTAGGATTACACCTTGGCCCTTTATATGTGTGCTGGGATCTGAACTCAGGTCCTCATGCTTGCAGAGTAAATACTTGTGCCCACTGAGCCATCTCTATAGCCTGAAGTATTTGTTTTAAAGGATAGGCAGATGCTGCTCAGTTAGGTAGAGTGCTTACCTAGCATGTAAGAGACCATTGGTTTGATTCAAAGCAATGGGGATGGGGTGAGGGGAGGGAGGGAGGGAGGGAATGGGCTTGTTGGATCTGTTTATCAGATAGATGAAATACATAAACACCATTTTGCCTCATGCTTGTTTTTCATAGTCTTCCAGTAAAATTACATGGCACAACAATGTTCATGATACTTAAAAGAGACATATATTTGTGCCTTTGATGCTAGCTATGTAATTCTTGCAGTTTCTTGTCTTACTGTTGACAGGTGATATATTACGCTAGCTTTGCTCATAATTCATAATTATACAGAATAATTTTTAGTTAACCATAATTATAGACATTAGTAATATAATATCAGCTACCTTACATCTATATGCCGCTTCTGTTTTGGCATGTCTAGAAACCTGGACAGATGACATTAAAAAAATAAGGCGTCATAGTCCGGTGTAGTGTTGCATACCTGTAATCCCAGCATTTGGGAGGTGGAGGCAGGAAGATCAGGAGTTCAAGGCCAGGCTTAGCTACATAGTGAATTCAATGCCTGACTGAGCTACACAAGATCCTGTCTCAAAACACATACACACACACACACACAAGAGAGAGAGAGAGAGAGAGAGAGAGAGAGAGAGAGAGAGAGATATCCTAAGCTGTCCTATAGAGTCAGGATATGGCAGGGTCAATAGTTAGCCTGTGCAGATAAAATCCTGACTCCCATTGCCCCATCTTTGATTTTCATAGGTTAGAAGCGTACCCTACCCCTTCTCCCTCCATTCTTGTGTTTGTGTAGTGCATGTGTATATAAAAGTGTGTGAGTCTGTGAAGGCCAGAGGGCAACCTTGGGGGTACCT